TGGGCTGATGTCACCGTTCGAGTCTTTCAGCAAGTGCTTCACATAGTAGTTCACCCGGCGCCACCCTTGGCGCGTCTGCCGGGAGCGCCATACAAGGCCGTCCATCAGCGTGTGCAACAGTGTGGGGGCCGTGTTGCAAAGACGCTGCACCACGCGTGGGTGGTAAGCAAAGAGGCTGTCACAGCCATAGTAGTAGACCTCAACCGCCCAAGAGTTCAGGAAGGCCCATTCCACCAAAGAAGCCCCCCCCAACTCCCTACGCAAGCTCCTTCTGGACTGACTCTTCCCCTGTCAGGGGAACTCAAGACATTATTTATGAATTTACACTTGGCCAAAGAACATCACGGTCAGCACGGATCATCAGCAAATCTTGCAAAATGATCTCAGCACAGATCAGCCTGCCACTGTCGATGGCCCAGTAGAAGGGTGAAATTGATTGGGATCCTTCAATGTGACAGGCTGTGGCGGATAAATGCTTCAAGTGGACTTAAATATTATCTATAAGACTCGGAGCTCCGCTCATCAATTGTCAATGCCACAAAGACACTTCCCTCACAATTGCGCTCCATGCCACATCTGTATTACAGGATGCAATTGAGTCGCACCACGCACGAACGAATACATACTGGTTTAATTGTACTGACCAAATGCCCCGGATGAGGAAAGCAATTCCAATAAAATGAACACCTATATATGATATGTGGCAAATATGTATACAGCGCGAGCTTTGCTGTGCAAGACTTCGAAACAAATCTACTACACAAGCCTGTACCCAAATCAAAACGAAAACAAACTTCCTCATGATCAGTTCTTTTTGTTCAGTCCGGGTCCTGCTGTGATGTTCAGCACCTCGTGAGCCCTTTGACACCGCGGGACGATCGCAATGGCCTTCCTCAACTGTCCCCTGACACGGAGCTGACTGGCCTCAAACAAAACCGACACAAAGCCCCACATAAGGGTACCGAGCACCACCCTTCTCAGCATGTCTGATCAACAATCCGTGCAGAAGAAGAAAAGAGTGCCAAAGCATAGGCATAGCGGGAAACATGAACCACATGTCCACCACTCGACATCAATAGAACGAAATCAGAAATCAAACAGTCGGCCCCAACCTCACGTTGGCGTGGATGGCCTTCATCACCAACGTGGAGCCTTCCCCCAGCGTGCGCACTATGATCTTTGCGATCAGGGCGACGGCCCAGCGGACAGCCTCGACGACTTCTTCACTTGCTGCGAGCGCCTGGATCCTGGGCAAATTCATGAACACAGCGAAGGAGAAGGGAGGACCTTCTGGGCTGACAAAAGATGCTTGACAATAACAATTATATTGGCAATGTCCACAGAAGCAAAAAAGTCTTGTTTGCTGGTGCAAGGGGCGTTGCCACTACAGCAGTGGCAGCAGTGACGAAGGGTGGAAACATGTCTGTGGGAATTCCATAGCCAACGTGCTTCAAGCCTTGCGCTGAGCTCTCTTCCACCGTCTTCAGAGGAAACCGGTAGAGCTCCAGCAGAAGGGATGTGATCTTGTCTGAGATGAACAGGAGACGAGTTGAGGATTGCTTCAGGAATTCCTGGCCAGCAGGCGTGATCTCCAAGAAGGCTGGGAAAATTTGATGCGTGAAACGCTGGATCTTTTCAGGCTCACTTTGGTAGAAGCAGGTCAACGCGGCTTCTTGTACAGCGGGTTTGCCCAGCGAGGCCCGTAGAAGGCCTTCCATGTTTTCCCAAAGCCAACACCACGCAACCTCGTGCTCCGAGTCCCACTTGTCGGGCAACAGTGACCGCAAGGATGCCAAGACCACTGCCTTGAACTCTGGCAACTCAATAGGCCCCTTGTACTTGGCAAGCACTAAACACATCACGTCGCACTCTTCTTGCAATCGACAGAAGTTCCCCACACTCCGTACCATATCATCAAACTGAACCAACATGATCTTCATCCAGTGGCTCCCTCCAAAACCCATGACAGATGCATTGAAGAGGATCATCTCATTGAAGCTTGTCGGTATTTTCATATCTACCTTCACCTCCGGATCCATTTTGAGCATAGTTGTCTCAGCCTCCTTGGTCTCTTTGCCCTTTTGTTGCTCTTTGACCTCTTTGATGTTCTTAGGCTCCTGAGGTTTCTTCACTGTCGGCTCCGCATCTTCGTGTACACTCTCCTCAGCTTGGCTCTCGGCATCAACTGCATCGGCCCTCGCGTAGGACTCGGCGGTGGTCTTCTGCACAGCGTTCCAACTGCTCAGCACAAGTTTGATTCGTTCAGAATACTCGTGGTTCACATACATGAAGGCACTGCCCACGTAGTTCATCAAATTGTAGAAGCCAGCACGCGCGGGTGGAGTGAAGCTTCCTCCCAAGGACTCTTCAAGGACCTTCGGGCACCCGAGTTTGTGCCCAAGAGGTCTTGCAGTGTGGACTTTGAGAATGAGAAAAATCATGTCAATCTACAGATCTAAGGAACTCCGACAAACTCAGACCGCTCTCTGTGATCGTGCCTCTCCTCATCCCAAATCCGATCCGCCAGGCCTCAGCGAGAGCCTCTCGAAAGAAGGCGACCTTCATGGTTGTGACCTCCACCTCCAAATGCTTGAAGGCTAAGGCCTCGCTCGCAAAAAAAACAGATGGAGCCCACGAACCCGAATGCAAACACGTTCGAAAAGCTACATATGTCCAAATGACACTCTTGTAGGAAACTATTGTCGGACACTCTTGTGACTCTTGTGGGTCACTCTTGTAGGAAACTCTTGTGGGACACTCTTGTGGGAAATTTTGCGGGACACTCTTGTAGGACACTCTTGTGGGACACTCTTGTGGGTCACTCTTGTAGGAAGCTCTTGCGGGGCACTCTTTTGGGACACTCTTGATACCACCAATCATCCCGCTCACCAGTGACACGCCGCGTTTACACCAGCATGTTTCGCGCTCCCAGTCGCACGGCGCCACGCAAACGCACTTCCCACCAAGGCCGCACAAATCCCAATGGCAGTGCGACATCACGAACATAATTTCGCCACACGCACTGCCCACACACTGGAAGCAAACATATCACACGATACCACCAATCATCCCGCTCACCAGCGACACGCCGCGTTTACACCAGCATGTTTCGCGCTCCCCAGTGGCACGGCGCCACGCAAACGCACATCCCACCAAGGCCGCGCAAATCCACATGGCACTGCGACATAACGAACGTAAATTCGCCACACTGTCTGCCCAGTGCCACACACTAGAAGCGTTTTGTACAAGACTTCCTCCAAAATTCGCGCGTACAGTCTCCAAAACGAAACGAGACTTCCTCCAAAAATCATGCCTAGGTTTACATGTTTTCTTCAAACAAAGTAAAACCACTCAATGTTTAAACGAACCTGTGTGAGATTGGGAATATGGTATTGTGTTTCAACCTTCTAAGACTTCGTGGCGCCGTCTTGGCTTGCGCAAGAATTGGTCAGGTTCAAACCTGTTTGCGACTCTGCGAAACGCCCTCACTTGGAGGGGGGAAGGTGTGGACCTCTGAGGGGGGGGTCGGGAAAGAGACAACCACTCCCGAACCTCAGCCGTCAAAGGAAAATAGTTGAAAACCAAAGCCACCTCGATCTCCCTTTTCAATAGCGAAGGCTGATCAAGAAGGACAACGACCTGACTGAAGGCGCTCATGTACAGCATGGAGAGCACGGCCTGCCCAGTTTTGATGCTTTCCCCTACCAGGTTCTAGTCTACTGAGTGCGCTGTTCCAGCAGGTTGGATCAAAAAGTTCCCTTGTGGTGGGTGCTGAGTGCAATTGAAACCATAGTGATAGCGAAGAGGTGTGGAGTCACTTG